TAACTTTTTATATAATATTTATAACTTCTATACATTACATTTCTAGTAACTTTATTCGAAAAAGCTTTCTAAATAAAGTGATACTTCTAACCGAAGTAGTCCTTCAGGAAAAAAAAATACGAAATGAGGATTTTTAATTATAAAATTGTGAAAAATTAGTCTCTACCCCTAGTGAATATAAAGAACAAATCTCTATATCATCCGAACACCCTGATCTCTCTCTTTTTTCTCTCAAAAATCTCAGAAATCGCAGAGAGATTCTCCTCTCCTCCGATCCTTACCTCGTCTTGGTTTATGAGGTAAAAGCCTTCCTGTTTCTAAATATTTTTTTTCTTGATCTTTATGAATCATCATCGTTAAAGATCTGTTCTTGCTTTCCAAAGATCGGTTCTTGAATAGAAATCTTTTAGCTTTTTTTGATTTTTTCTTGGTAACTCTGGGATTTTCTTTTCTGGTGATCGGCTTTTTTGGGTTCGTTTAGAGTTCTTGATTGGTTACTAGATTTTTCTCTGTTATTATTATTATTTTTTTTTAATTTGTTAAATTTTCTATTATTGTGGGAAAGGTTTGTTTGCTACTGTAATATTTCTCCTAAAGTTATTTTTTATGTGAGTTAAAGGAGGGGAATTGTGGAATTTTTAGTAGGTTTCTTCAAGAGTGTTTACTAAATTTAGGATTCATAAGTTGGATCAATTTATTTTCTATCTTCTTTAGCTGGGAAAGTGCCTTTTTCATGTGGATTTGTTTCCTAAATATTGTTTTTGCACAATATTTGAGCTTAAATTGTTCTTTGTTTCTTTTTTATTACGTACTAATTTACTTCAATTCTTGACCCCTGCATCAATCTTGGTGTGGATATCTGCAGCTCGAAGGAGAAACCCACTCTTGGGTAAGTACTGTAATTAGTTTGTTTCTTGGAATTCTTGTTCTCTTTGTATGCGCATTTTAATTGAAATGGAGCTTTAATCAATAGAAAAACAGAACTAAAATTCAAACTTTATTACTGGCATCTCTATTCCTGCACTGGACACAGATGATGTATATTGGCTCTGGAGTTTAAAATTTAAACGCATGGGCACATGGGAAAAGTAGGGTTCTTTTTGTTATGTGTATGATTTTATTGAATAATTTTTCAGTTTATGTTATTAATCTTGGTTGTGCTGGGACAAGTATGAAGAAAAGTGAGAGAGACCTGTGCTTTGGTGTAACAGTGATGTGCTTAAACTAGTAATTTTGAAGTGTCTGCTTTTACATCTTCACATTAAAGTGATTGTGGGTTTGTGATTATTTGGTTGTTGTGCACATTTTTAGCAATAAAGTAGACATTGTTCTCGTCTTGTATTGTTTTGATTGAGGTAATGGGACTATTATATTTTAAAGTCTAATGAGTTTTGCTGATCTTAGAAATATTAACATGCAAACAGGAGGGTGAAGAATCTAACTCAGTATGTGTTTCCTTTATATCTGTGTGCAGTGGTACGCGGATTAAGACCCGCAAACGGAATATTGCTGCTCCCTTGGACCCTGCAGCATTTGCTGATGTAGTGGTCCAGATTTATCTGGATAATGCTGGTGATCTGGTAATTAATACAGTACTGTAAATTTAAATCCCAATTCTCATGGTTTTAGTCAAAATCAAACTCTTGACACTCCCTGGTGGGAGAGCACCCAGTCTTCATTCATTTTTACATAAGAGTAGTTTGGACTTTGGAGTATTCGAGAGATGTTGAGGATGAGAGAGTCAAAAGATTTCCTTTTTGAAAATTTAAATTAATTTAACATGAGGAGGTACTTTCACAGCCAAAAAATATTATTACTGATGAATTTGTTTAACAAGTTAAAGCACAGTGTGGTTAAGTGTCAAAAAAGCACAAGTCTGAGATGGATTTTAATCTGAACCATAAGGGTGACAAGTGAATTTGTCCTTTGCGGCATGCATTTGACATCTTATGTAGGTTTGAGCATCTTATACTTCTAGTTGGTTATCTAGCTCTTCTGGCCAAACATTTTCTTGTTACAGGAACTTGTTTGCAAGAACCTTGAGTCTTCAGACCTTAACTTCTCCCGATACGGTGACACCTTCTTTGAGGTAAGTTTTTGGTTTTAGATTGAACCCATTAACTTTTAAATATCTTCTACTTCAAAGCAAAATTTTGTTTGTTCTTGATAATTTGTTGGATGTTTAAATCATCCATGAAGCATGATCTGCGCGAGTGTATGGAGGAAAGGATATTGGATATATTTCAACTCTACAGCACATATATAAACTTCCCTTGTGATTGATGGAATGATCTTGAGTTTATTAACTTGATCTGGAATTATAGAAGTATGTTTGCTGCAACTTTATGTTGAGCTCTATGTATGCCAAGAGATCAACGTAAAGGTGTGGTTGGACTGTTAGATTCTGGTGACCTTATGAAGTGTTCTGTATTTTGATTTTTGTGTTCCGATTGTGTGCTTCCATCCTTTCCTTTTGGGAACACTGACTTGTGCCATAGTGACAAAATCTGAATTGTTTCAATTACAGGTTGTTTTTACTGGAGGCCGTACACAACCAGGCACAATTAAACCGGATGAGGGGGAGCGCCACCCTTACTCTATAATAGATTGTGAGCCTAAACGTGAAGTCATTTTGCCATCTGTGATCTACGTACAGAAAATTTTACGCAGAAAGCCTTTTCTCATAAAGAATCTTGAAAATGTTATGCAAAGATTCTTGCAGTCATTGGAGCTTTTTGAGGAAAATGAGAGGAAAAAGCTTGCAATTTTCACGGCACTTGCTTTCTCCCAGAAACTTTCAGGGCTGCCACCTGAGACTGTGCTCCAGCCCTTGCTCAAGGATAATCTTGTTGCCAAAGGACTAGTCCTTTCATTCGTAACTGACTTCTTCAAGGAGTATCTGGTTGATAATAGTGTGGAGGATTTGATCTCAATTCTGAAGCGAGGTAAAATGGAGGACAATCTCCTGGACTTCTTTCCATCTGCCAAGCGATCTGCTGAAGGTTTTGCTGAGCATTTCACGTGAGTCTACCAGTTTTTATTTGGACTAAAACTGCAAAACCTACACTTTTTGGATGCATGCTATGGTTTAAATTGACAATAGTATTTGCTTCAATATGTCAATACTCTGTTTCCATTGACAGATCCATGAAATGTTTTAGGTGCCTGAAAGACTCTTTGATTTTCTAATAACCTATCCTGTATTAGCCTCTCTCTCTTTGATATCAGGTTTCTCTGTAAGTTATAGTGTTTTCTAGCCACCAAGCAGACTGATAATTCTACCATCATCATGTGCTTCTACTACCGAACGTTTGAGAATTGCATACTTTGCACGGAACATTGCTAGAATTAGGATATTACGTTCTGACCTTGCATAATATTTAGATTTCTTTATCTCCAAGGTTCATGATGGCATTGATAGAAGATAAAATTAGCCTGCATTTTGTTCCCTGTTTCTCCCATGCTCACGTATAAGCATTCACTGTAGCATTTAGCACTGGAATATATTTTTTTTGTGGTGTGGTGCCTTAAATGATTGTTAGTTCAGATGAATTGGAATAGTCATCTTTTTGTGCTTTACCCATATTCAAACTTCTAATGTATTCACTGACCAATGTATAAACTGGACATGCTAAATGGTTTTCAATAATGTTCTTATCTAGCATACATGTATCTGTATCATTGGGTATTATCAACTCTTAATTCAATTTGCAGGCCAGATTTTGCTTTCCATTCAGTTATCCTCATTTTGGTTGTGCAGAATTGACTAATATGTTTCCTTGATTGCTTGTCATTATAAATGGAATGAAGTTTGCTGCTAGTTTTTAATTTACTAATTATGCCATTGGTTCTAGAGCACCGGTTTTAGTATCTACATGTCACATGTTATCTTCCCAGTGCATTATTAATTCTCTTGTGCTAGATTAGTAAGTTATACATGTTCTTTGGCATTGCATTTTCATTGTATAAAGTTATTTTGGAGTGGAGACTGGCGTTTCTATGATTTTGGTTGAAAAGTGATCATTTGCCTCTTTTGTTCCACATTTGGTTGGTGATAATATATTGCTTCATGCATGAAGAGAGTTTTTTGTTTAGGTTTAAGCAAGTATTTACTCATTTGTCATCATTAGAGCTTTCCCAACTTTGGAGTAGAAGTGGTTTATTTTAATTGTTGCCTTAATCTTCAACAGAAACTTAACGATTTAAAATCATTTAAAATAAATTCTTAGATATGATTTGTGAACTTTTAATGAAGTTTCTTTACATCATTGCAAATTCTAAGTGAAGTATGTTGTGTCATTATTTGTTGTAGTTTTGTTTGCACGTGTCAAGATTTATGTAATGTATTTTTGGCCATCCTATTTCATTGTTGACTTTCAGCAAGGAAGGGTTGACATCCCTCGTTGAATACAATGAGAAAAAAATATTTGAGGTGAAACTGAAGGAAATGAAATCTGCTGTAACAACCCAGATATCAGAGGAAACTGATATATCTGAGGTCATTGAAACTGTTAAGCAACATGTTAAAGATGCTAAATTACCTGATGTTGAGGTTGTGCGGATGCTCTGGGATGTATTAATGGATGCGGTTCAGTGGTCTGGGAAGAATCAGCAACAGAATTCTAATGCAGCCCTGCGACAGGTCAGATTTAGAATCTTAGTTTTTTTTGTTGGACCCTCCCTACCTCTGTTAGATGGGGCACTTAATTTGTTGTTGGTAGATTTGGGCATTTAGGCAGTAGTTAAGTGTATTGGCTCAAACTTTAGAAATGGATGCAAAGGTAGTATGGCCTGATTTCTGTCTGTCAATATGGAACTCTGCAGAATATTGGACTCACAAGCACAAACAGTTATTGAGGAAGTACATCATTTTGCTTTAGTGTCTAGAAAAATCATCAATTTATGCATACATTTGTGATTTTGCAACATTGTAGACAAGGTCATGCCATTGTGTTCTCTGTCCCTGAATCCAGACTAAGTGCTGGCTGGGAATTCTTGCATTATGTCAAGTTTAAAATTTTTAACATTGATTTCAGAAAAAAAAAAAAGAAAAAAAAAGGGGAAATCCTTGTGATGTTAGTTATTGTCTAGCAGAAAAACTGTTTTTCTAATATCCTTCTACTGGTATGAATTTACAAAATTGAACTATTGGCCCAAGATCCCTCCCATTTACTCCTATCCAGAGGTTTGTAACACACTTAAGTATTTTCTTTGATTACATTTTTCATCACAAGAATGCCATAAGATATGGCATCTGTCCTATTATTTATGATCCCTCATTGATCATTTGTTGGTTCAAATTCTGATACTTTCACCTTTAAAGGTGTGACAGAAGCAGAACACTGATTTACTAGTTTAGGCTAAACATGTTTGCTTTCTGGAAGTAATGAATTGATGTCATGAAATTTCAGATGGCTATATCACAAATTGTTAATCATGAATTTTAAGAGTACATGGTGGGATAAATTGTTGATTTGAGGTTTTCCTTTGTCTACCTACTTGTTATTACAGGTGAAGGCATGGGCAAAACTTTTAAATACCTTTTGCACCAGTGGGAAACTTGAGCTGGAACTGATATATAAAGTCCAGATGCAATGCTATGAGGATGCCAAACTGATGAAGCTGTTCCCTGAGATCATAAGATCTCTCTATGATCAGGATGTACTTGCAGAAGACACCATTCTTCACTGGTTCCGCAAAGGAACAAACCCTAAGGGCAGGTATGCAAGTCCATTTTCATATATGCTATCATATTAAGAATTCTTATGTTTGTTGAGGAAAATGAGAATTGACCCGTATATTTTTATATTCTTGTTTCCTTGCAAGTTGCAAATTACCTCATTTTTGGTTTTTGCACATTTTGTTTCTGCATGTGATAATGATCTTAATGCATTGGCAATTGGTACAGACAAACATTTGTGAAGGCCTTGGAACCCTTTGTGAACTGGCTGGAAGAAGCAGAAGAGGAGGAATAAGTTGGACCTTGTTCCCCTAGTTTTATTAGTCTGTATCCATTCTTGAGATGTAACTTGACATAAGATCTCAAGATCCTTTGACATTTGGTGTGATGTGAACGAACCTTATGGTGGATTCTCCTGCAATAATCAGTTTCTCTATATTCTCGTGCGTATGTTTCTTCTATCTTTCTGCTTATTCACTATTGAAATTGACTGATCAATTAGCATATTATTTTGGATTAAGGCCCCCAAGTTCATCTCTCAACCCAAGAACTTTGTGAGTGTTTGCCCTAAGAGCGTGTCTGGTTCACCCGAACGTGGGATATTGGATCAACGAGCTTCTTGCTTGTGCAACTCCAGCACCATCCCTGGAGTTTCGCTCTGCTTGCTTGTTGAGGTGGTAAGGTGGAGGAACACTTGGTCACATTTTCTTCAACATCTCTTAACTAAAACTTATGCCGCATTAATCAAATCGTCTAATAGTCTCTTGTTCATCCTCAATGTTAGCAACTAGCTTGTTTCTTTAGGATTATAAATGCGGGGTTTTGATTCAATGACTAGAGAACATTCCCCACGGTGAGCGTGGATTCAGTGGGGTTGGGGGAGGCGGGGGGTGTTGTGAAGTAGACTCTGAAAGAAAGGCATTCACGAACTATTGAAACACGCAGTAGAATAATCTCAAAGTCAAGACAAATACCCCACTTGCATTTGTGATACGAGGCTTTAATCGCTGAAATTGTTTTTCGAGAAAAGAAATAGTCTCAAATGAGAAGTTGGTTTTGCTACAGAAGATGAGAACGCATCGAATGGCTGACTGAAAACCGAGAATATGGTAATTTCCTACACACTCAAAACACCTATTGATGTTATATACAGCCATGACGAAGAACCCTCATGCAGCTCGAGAAGACACCTTGTTTAACATACAGCCATGATGAAGAACCTGCTCTAACCTCCAAACTTGTTCCAAAGAAGAGGGAATTGAAACAATGTCCAAGGCCGTGCAAAGGCATTGGCCTAAATGATTTGTTTACGTTTCATTGTTGCTCTCTAAATGGAACAGGAACAAGGAAGAAAAACCTTTTGCTGCTCCAGCATCTTATTTTCTATAAGGTCATTGTCAGCAGATAAATTTCTGCTTGAAGGTTCAGTTGATCCAACGGAAGCAGTTGGTTCTCAGCCCTGCAATTGAGAAGAGAGAAGAATGATCAAAGCGAAGTGGTAGGATAAGAAATCGTAGCAAATAAAAGAATCATCCTATTCCTATATCAAGGATAAACTGAAGTGTGTGCATACTGTACATGCCTCATGTTGATTGTTTTGAAGAACATGAGGAACAGAACAGCTATATACCAGCTTGCAGAAGGTAAAAGAGATTTCCTTAAGAACTCCTCTCTTCAGTCTCCACCTACCTTTCCAAAAAGAAAATATACATAAGTTGATTGACATGCCTGCCAAATCCCACGACAACATCCAACAATAAAATGTAGTAGCATCCTAAATCAAGATGCATGCTAGTTTTCTGTATATCGGCAGCAGAAATAGCTATAGGCATGACCAGACATCACCAAGAGTTAAACGACACTGAAGAGAATGAGAAAAAAATTCTCTGCTTTAGAAAAATTTCCATGTGAGAAACTAGGAATTCAGTAATCAAGAGGAAATAATGGCAGTCATATTCTTCTAAACACCACAGTT